TGTGTATTTCCAGTAACCACATAAAAAAAAGGTAAAACACACTTACTGGTTTCCCCCACATATAAAATTGTCAAGTAAGAAACATTTTTTTTTTTTACGGAGAAAGGAAACCGATCTAGAGTTCTCTCTCTCTATTATTTTTGCCGATCAGTCAGTTTCTCAAATGTATCTGTAACCTGGGACCAGAGTCCCAACAATGCAGTTCTCGAGGAATCGTGGATGTTTTTTGTTCCATCATATAATATATGAAATCAATTCTAGATTTGAAGCTTTCGTGACTGCAAGGATTCATATTCTTAGGTTTTTTTTAAATGTGACTTTACCGAAAAAAACCTAAGAATATAATATATGAAATCATTGGCAAAGACCAAGAACGGTTGATTCCTAGCTGTTTTTGCATATAATGGCATGTATACAGCACATGTTCGCGTGCAAATCGTGAGCAGCGTTGCGGACCGCCAATGTTAATTTCTTCCATAAACATCAATGGAAGCTCCACGCGGCCACCAAACTCCCCTGAGGTGGGGGGGGGGGGCCCAAGGCTGCAAAATCCGAGTTACAATATTCGCGTACAGGTATACTGCACTGCTATTTGCTGATAGTGTAAAGCAGTAAAGTGGTGTCAAATTTTTCTTTAAATTATCATTGTACAGTATCCAATTTGACATCGCGTGAAGCGCCCCAATTTACGTGATCGTGCTTATACAGCAAACCAATGAGTGCATTGACGTTTCCGGAAAACGCAGCAATGCGTGCGAGTTGGTGTACATAATGCGGCCCTTCTTAAATACTGGCAGAAACTCAAATGATGTAGACACTCGACTGGGCTAATAATGATTTGAAGCTTTCGTGACTGCAGGGATCCATACTCTTTGGTTCTTTCGGTAAAGGCACGTAGGTAGAAATAAAATCAAACGAATCACGACGTTTCGATCGCAACACAAGCAATCTTCATCAGGTGGAACAACCACAGCAAGAAAAAATGCAGAAGTGAGCATGTGGTTGTTCCACCTGATGAAGATTGCTTGTGTTGCGATCGAAACGTCGCGATTCGTTTGATTTTATTTCTACCTACGTGACTTTACCGGTAGAACCAAAGATTACTGGCCTGAAAAAATATATATTTTTATTATTATTTATTTTTTACCTACGTGACTTTACCGACAAAACCTAAGAGTATGAATCCTTGCAGTCACGAAAGCTTCAAATCTAGAATTACTCGCCTGGGCTGTCTTATTTTTTTTGACCGGGTCTGTCACACGCAGATCTCGACACATTCGCTGAATTGTGTTTAAAGGCACAGAAACGATGGAAATAACGAGCATATTCTCGACTAGGATATATACATGGACGTGAGCATACTCACGCTGCAGTTTACATAAGTCGCGTACCACATCATGTACATGTCCTGTAGTAGAACAAGCTGAAACTGTAATCTTTTCCTTCCCGTCAAGTGCGAGAATGTGTTTTGGGTATTAATCTGTCAGGACGAGCAACGCCGTTCGTCGACAATATTAGTAGACAACTCGTTTAGATGTGAATAGCCCAAAATTAAGAATGTCCGCCCTCGTGAACCCAACGCTTTCGGCGTAAAAGCAGCCACACGTGCTACGTTTACCACCCTAATAAAATAGACAATCCTCTAGAATGTCGTGAGCGCACAAAAGGGAGGGGCGAGAGACCGCCTTGTGTGTGGTTTTTTTGTGTGTTCTCTCCCTCTCTCTCCCACCTCCCCCCTTCTCTCTCCCCGTCGGTCGGGAGAGGAGATCCGTCCTGAATATTAAAACCCCGGGGTGTAAGTTACCCCCCCCCCCACCTCGAGCAGAAAAGAACGCGGGCCAAATGCGCGCAGTGCGTGCAGCGTTTCTGTCCGTCGCCCCACCACCATCCACCACCCACCACCACCCACCCTGCATACCTGTCGCGATTTACATATAAATAACCCCAAATGTCAAGCCGCTAGTGACGCTAACACGGCGAGACTCCATTGACTCTGGGGTTCACTTAGCGACGAGGCTACCGCCGTGCGCGCGCAGCGCTTGGTGCGGATTCTCGTGCATTGGGTGAACGCGTGAGACGCGCGCACGCCGATGCACACACACACACACGCTGATGCACACACAAGCACTGGTGCACACACACTGGTGCACACACACACTGACACACACACGCGCTGATACGCACACACACACTGATGCACACACACACTGATACACACACACACTGATGCACACACACTCGCTGATGCACACACACACTGATACACACACACGCTGACACACACACACTGATGCACACACACACACACTGACACACACACACTGACACACACACGCTGATACGCACACACACTGATACACACAAACACACTGGTGCACACACACACACTGGTGCACACACACACACACTGGTACACACACACACTGATGCACAAACACACTGATACACACACACGCTGATACACACACACACACACTGATACACACACACACTGATGCACACACACACGCTGATGCACACACACACTGATACACACACACACTGGTGCACACACACACTGGTGCACACACACACACTGATACACACACACACTGATGCACACACACACTGATACACACACACTGGTGCACACACACTCGCTGATACACACACACACTGGTGCACACCCACACATACTTATGCACACACACACTGATACACACACACGCTGATACACACACACACTGGTGCACACACACACACACACTGACACACACACTGACACACACACACGCTGATACGCACACACACTGATACACACACACACACTGATGCACACACACACTGGTGCACACACACACACTGGTGCACACACACACTGATGCACACACACACGCTGATGCACACACACACACTGATGCACACACACACACACTGATGCACACACACACATTGATGCACACACACACGCGGATACACACACACACTCTGATACACACACACAGGTGTACACACACACTGGTGCACACACACACACTGGTGCACACACACACACTGGTGCACACACACACACACTGGTGCGCACAGACACGCTGATGCACACACACACGCTGATGCACACACACACTGGTGCACACAGACACGCTGATACACACACACGCCGGTGCACACACACACGCACACACGCGTCGGCGCGCACACACACACGCCGGTGCACACACACACACATGCACACACACGCCGGTGCACACACACGCGCCGATACACAACAACGACCAACCCGTGTATTGCCTTAATAGAGTGTTGGGACAGGTGCTATTAGCGAGCACTTATGAAGGCCTGCACGGTCCTCTAGGGGGTGGGTGACCAGCACCACACCACGCCCGACCGCCTTTGTCTCTCCAGTGGCGATGTTTTACACACTGAACCGGGTCGACCTCGGGAAGGCACGGGACCGGATCAGATGCTCGTCGCCGGTGTCGGCCGTGAGCGGGAATCGAACTCGCGTGGCGAGGTTCCGAGCGCAGCGCGCTAAGCGCTACGCAAACACACCCAGTGCACACACAGTGCACACACACACACCCAGTGCACACACAGTGCACACCCAACACCAGTGCACACACACACACAGTGCACACACACACACCCAGTGCACACCCAGTGCACACACACACACAGTGCACACACACACACCCAGTGCACACACAGTGCACACACACACACAGTGCACACACACACACCCAGTGCACACCCAGTGCACACACACACACCCAGTGCACACACACACACCCAGTGCACACACACACACCCAGTGCACACACCCAGTGCACACACAGTGCACACACACACACAGTGCACACACAGTGCACACACACACACCCAGTGCACACACCCAGTGCACACACGCTTGTACCCACACACACCCAGTGCACACACGCTTGTACCCACACACACACAGTGCACATACGCTTGTACCCACACACACAGTGCACACACGCTTGTACCTACACACACACGCTTGTACCCACACACACACGCTTGTACACACACGCTTGTACCCACACACACACGCGAGTTAACACGTACACACTCGCGTAAGCGCACTTGCCCCCATGGCAGACAAACGAGCAGCAGCAGCAGCAGCAGTGCGCGCACGCGTTTGTGCGCGTTCCCTCTGGCGCGCGCCACCGTAAGGGCGCCTTCTGCCGTGTCCTGCCCTGCAGTGACGCCCCTGCGTGTCCACACACGCGCACGTGTGCGTGCATGCGCACACACACACGTGCACACACACGTGCACGTGTGCACACACACACACACGTGTGCACGCGCGCGCACACACACACGTGCACACACACGCGCACGTGTGCACACACACACACACGTGTGCACGCACGCGCACACACACACGTGTGCACGCACGCGCACACACACACACAACCGCGCGCGCGCACACACACACGTGCGTGTGCGCACACACACACACGTGCGTGTGCGCACACACACACACGTGCGTGTGCGCACACGTACGCACACACACACACATCAGTGCACACACACACGCACACACATACGCACACGTGCGCAGGGGCCGTTCGTTGCGAGACGTGTGCGAACGCGTGCGACAGCAGCACGGGTATGCGCGTACACACACACACACACACGTCCTTTACGCGTAACATGTATTACGTGTAAGTGTGATCGTCCTCGACAGCACCAATGATGTCCACCCGTGAGACCGGCGGACATCACTTCTCGGCTTGCCTGGGGAGCAGCGAGCAAACAAGCGGCACATCTAGAAATAGGAGTCATTTAATGAAGGGCGACGCGGGTTGCATCCGAGGAGGTGGTGGTGGTGTGTGTGTGTGCAGACGTGCATTGGTGAGATTACACACTCTTGACACACACGCACACACGGGTGAGAGTGGGGGGGGGGGGAGCTGCTCCACAAACACGGCACACACACACACACATGGGGGGGGTGTGGGGGCGAAGAAAAGAAAGAAACGCCGCAAAACACTCACGCGTGAAGACGGCCCAGCCCAGGAGCAGCAGCGCCGATCCCAGGTGATGGGTAAGAGTCCCGGGAGGCCGGCACCTCGACGCGCGCTCCTCTTCCCTCGACGGCATCGCTTGCCCTGCGACCGCTATACGGTCGCCGGCAGCAGCCGATGGAAGGGCTAAATCCCGGTTAGTCCACACAAAACATCCCCCCCCTGCCACGCAACCCCAAACCCCCCGCAGGGCTACCCGGGGTGTAACGCCAAGGAGACCGCTGCAGTCACGGCAGGGCACGGTGGACCGACAAGTAGCCAGGAGGTTGTGTGCTGCCGTGGGATGAGCGGTGGTGTTGGCAGTCGTAAATGAGCGTGGAGTTAAAACGACGAGCAAGAAATCCCGACGCGACCAGACGGAAGCTCGCAATGCGAAACGATGCCTTGTATCTGCAGAGGCGGTGACAAAACGCGGCGAAGAGTTCGCCGCTCAGGAACGAGGATCACAAAGAGTCCGGAACGGGGTTTCCCTTATCTCGCGCCACCGTCGTGGTGCTGCTGCTGCTGCTGCAGGATCCTCTGAGCACGAAGGGAACTCTCCTGTGGAGTGACGGCCACGGCGAGGAGGCGTGCTGGGCAGGGAAGCATTGCGGCTCCCGGGCGGGTGTCTGCAGGGCGGAGTGGTCCGTGCTGCTGCTGCTGCGCGAGCGGCGCCTGCGGGCGCAGCGCAGCTGGAGAAGGAGCGGGATGGAGCGCGGAGCGGAGCGCGGACGAATCTCGGGCCGCAGAGCGCGGCGCCACCTATCGGCGGCTCGGTCACTCAGCCCACCCCGGGTGAATTTTAAAGGGCAAAAAAGTATAACCCGTAAAAACAAAGTTTTTCACTATAAATCCTTTATATGCGTGGCGGCTAGAGTCCTCTCGTCCTCTGGCTTGAGATGGCTGCCACCTATGGGTCAGATGATTGTCTGCCAGTATTAAGCAATTGGTAATTAAATATTTAATTTGTTTTCCATAAACAGTGTAAAATTTTGGAAATTTTTTTCCACGAACATTAATTGTCTCGCACAACGAGTCTGTGTGCAAAATGTCAGCTCGATTGGATCACGGGAAGTGGGTTAAAAACGACCGAAAGATTTGCACGGTCGTAAGCAAGCAAGCACGCAAGCAAGCAAGCGAACTTAATATAAAGGATTTAAAAAGCACGTGGGACTTCCATTCAGACGATGTGAATAAAGAAGTTTCGCTCGATTTTTCGGTGTCAAATTCTTCTTTAACTCTCAAGAATTGTAATGACTGGACAAAGCGCGCTTCCACCTGGAGTTGGAATAATGTTTTAATATCTTGGGTGGAGCACCCAATTCCTACCTCACTCAGCCCACCCAAGTGAATTTTAAACGACAAAAAAGCACGTGGGACTTCCATTCAGACGATGCGAATAAAGAAGCGTTTACTACATTTATCGTGCCAAAATCTTCTTTAACTCTCAAGAATTGCAACGACTGCACAAAGCGCACTACCATCTGGAGTTGAAATCATGTTTTCATATCTTGGGTGGCGCACCCAATTCCTACCTCACTGTGCTTTATCGACAAATGTATACTATTATGAAAAATAATAATCGTTTCAGCCTTTCTGGCAATAGCACAGGTGTTAAGATGTTCAACACACACAATAGATACCTTTTGCAAGGCATCAAATCTGCATTAACCACACATACGTTGGGAAAAAATATGCAAACAAACATGTTCTGATAATTAATCTATGCATTTTGTTTGAAACAGATTGGCCTACACCAGAAACAGCCTTCTTTATGCCCTTGTCTCACCTGTGTCAGACCAGAGAATGCCAAAGGCGACCAGTACATAGACAATGTAAGTATCAGAGCACTTAAAGCTCGGGTATGGCAGTTATATCTATAGGACATTTTATACCATACTCTTTGGTTCTTTCTACCTACGTGACTTTACCGAAAGAACCAAAGAGTATGGATTCCTGCAGTCACGAAAGCTTCAAATCAAGATTTTATAATATGTTCAACGACCATAATGCAGGTCAAAACACTTATCTTTCTGCTTCCCTTCCCTCGTTACTTTTCCCAAGGTCGTATAACCTTGACAGCACCATCACCAGTCTTATAGCCATCATCCAGTACCGTCTAATTACTACCACCACGTGTGTGTGTGTGTGAGACTTCTACGCATGTAAATGAACTGTGCTTTATATTTTTAGCATTATTGTGTGTTTTGGAAGTATCTATTTGAGCACCATACAATGCAAATACTATTCTTATTTTCAAACACCAGTTTCATTGCTTTCTCATGTAGTTTTTATTGTATTTAATTTACGTGCTTGATAACAGCCTCTTGTTTGCTAAAACAAGTCTGTAACAGCACATGCTATGATATGGGGGTCAGTATATTTTTTTAACCAAAATAATTTAAACAAATGCATGACAAGAGTGATCTGAAAATTAATCAGGCATTGTCCAACACATACCCAAATAACATTAATAATATTGTTTACCTAACTAATGCCAAATTCTCAAAGGTACAAATCATGGATTTTCCCCCTTTTTAAATCCTTTATATTAAGTTCGCTTGCTTGCTTGCGTGCTTGCGTGTTTGCGTGCTTGCATGCTTGCTTGCTTACGACCGTGCAAACTTTTCGGTCGTTTTTAAACCCACTTCCCGTGATCCAATCGAGCTGACATTTTGCACACAGACTCGTTGTGCGAGACAATTAATGTTCGTGAAATTTTTTTCTCCAAAATTTTACACTGTTTAGGGAAAACAAATTAAATATTTAATTACCAATTGTTTAATACTGCAGACAATCATCTGACCCATAGGTGGCAGCCATCTCAAGCCAGAGGACGAGAGGACTCTAGCCGCCACGCATATAAAGGATTTAGAGTGAAAAACTTTGTTTTTACGGGTTATACTTATTACAAATAATTTCCAAATCAACGAATACGTTTATTGTAATAGGAAGAAAGTTAAGACTATTTGAAAACCCAATATTATCATACTTCCTACTATATTAGAACATGGTTTGAGTGACTTCCTGCCTGGATTCATGTCTGCCTGGCGTGCGGCTAATTGCGCCCGCGTAGTGATAACATCACCTCACACATCTCCGTAATGATGGCACTCACATCCCACATTGTGGAACCGTAGATTAATCGCATGCTTGTTTACCCAGGAAAAGTCTGAGTCTCAAAGACTCTTATTCATGAGGTTTCTACCACGTTTTGTCAACTGTCAAATGGAGTATATTTTATATGAAAAAATGAAGTGGGTTTTATCCATAGATTTGGTTAGGAAAAATAGTCAACCCATCCATAGGATGAGTTGGTATTAGCTTGTATTCTTTGGGTCTTTCAAGTAAAGCCATGCAGATAAAAAAAAAATATCACGACATTTAGATCGCAACACCAGCAATCGTCATCAGGTGAAAAAATAGCGGGAGAGCTACTGGGGCAGGAAACAAGTATTACCCGTAAAAACAAAGTTTTTCACTCTAAATCCTTTATATGCGTGGCGGCTAGAGTCCTCTCGTCCTCTGGCTTGAGATGGCTGCAATCTATGGGTCAGATGATTGTCTGCCAGTATTAAGCAATTGGTAATTAAATATTTAATTTGTTTTCCATAAACAGTGTAAAATTTTGGAAAAACATTTTCACTAAAATTAATTGTCACACACAACGAGTCTGTGTGGAAAATGTCAGCTCGATTGGATCACGGGAAGTGGGTTAAAGAACGAGCGAAAGATTGGCACGGTCCTAAGCAAGCAAGCGAACTTAATATAAAGGATTTAAAATATATTCGCCTGTGGAGGACTGCGGGGATCGATCCCGCGACCTTTGGCATGGGAAGCGAGGGCGCTACCAACTGCGCTACTCCGCCACGGCCTGTGGAGGGGTTACGCTCTGGGCTCCTATACTGTGACGTTCAGCCAAAGCCATGAATGAGTTCTATTTGAATAAATGTAAAATATTTTTTTTTGCCTAAAAAGTGTAAAATTTTTGAAAAAAATTTTCACGAACATTAATTGTCTGTCACAACGAGTCTGTGTGGAAAATGTCAGCTCGATTGGATCACGGGAAGTGGGTTAAAAACGACCGAAAGATTTGCACGGTCGTAAGCAAGCAAGCACGCAAGCAAGCACGCAAGCAAGCAAGCACGCAAGCAAGCAAGCAAGCGAACTTAATATAAAGGATTTAAAAAATGATAGCGGGAGCGCTGCTGAGGCAGGGTGTTATGAAGCTTTGAGATGGGTGTAGCCCAAGTTTACTGGCTAGGTGGTGATGGTCGGAAATACAACGAGCTCTATGGTGTAGAGATTTTATGAGGGTATCCTTCTAGGCTGGATGGTGGTGGGAGTCAGATTTTAGGTAGGCATCCGTATGGGTGGCTTTCCTGTAGACAGAGTGTCCCATTGAGCCATTTGGTCTATTTTCGATTAAAACATCCAAGAATGGTAACTTGCAATCCTTTTCCACGTCCATGGTGAATTTGATGGCTGGGTGTATGGAATTGATGTGGTTGAAGAATTGGCCCAGAGCTGGCAAAAATCAATTTCATGTGTGCCCACCACGTTACAATAATGATCAGCCATGGCTGAGGTATTGGTCCTATCGTGTTTCAGATCTGCCTTATGTTCATGAACCCGGTCAGAGACATGTCGCTTAGTTTCCCCAATGTAACTGCTGCCGCAGACACAGCTTAGTTTGTAGACACCGGGGTATTGTGTGTCAGGGATCACATCCTTCACAGATGGGATCAAATCACGAATTGTATGTACTGTGTTGAACCGTACCTGGATCTTGTGTTTGCTCATGATTTTGGAAATATATTTGGTGACCCCTGCTATGTATGGCAAGGTGATGGTTTTGATTGGGTCCTCAGATGGTTCTTTCCCAACGGTTGGGGTGATAGCTTTACGGATTGTGTAGTCTGAATATCCATTCAGCTTGAGGGCTTGGTGTACGTGCTCCAGATCACTGGCTAGGTGATGATGGTCGGCATTACAACGAGCTCTATAGTATAGAGTTTTGATGAGGGAATTCTTCTGGGATGGATGGTGGTGGGAGTCAGGTTTTAGGGAGGCATTCGTGTGGGTGGCTTTCAGGTAGACAGAGTGTCCCCTTGAGCCATTAGGTCTCTTTTCGATTAAAACATCCAAGAATGGTGACTTGCCATCCTTTTCCACCTCCATGGTGAATTTGATGGCTGGGTGTATGGAATTGATGTGATTGAAGAATTGATCCAGAGCTGGTAGGCCATGTGGCCAGATGACGAACATATCATCTACGTATCTCTTCCACAAGGAAGGACATACAGTGAGGGAAACAAGTATTTGATCCCCTGCTGATTTTGTACGTTTGCCCACTGACAAAGAAATGATCAGTCTATAATTTTAATGGTAGGTTTATTTGAACAGTGAGAGACAGAATAACAACAACAAAATCCAGAAAAACGCATGTCTAAAAATGTTATAAATTGATTTGCATTTGAATGAGGGAAATAAGTATTTGACCCCCTCTCAATCAGAAAGACTTCTGGCTCCCAGGTGTCTTTTATACAGGTAACGAGCTGAGATTAGGAGCACACTCTTAAAGGGAGTGCTCCTAATCTCAGCTTGTTACCTGTATAAAAGACACCTGTTCACAAAAGCAATCAATCA